TTGTAAATTAAATAATTGTATATATACTGATTTATTCATTAATGTGTAATATGTTTTATTTTTTAAACAAATCATAAGCTCTAAAAGATTTTCAGAATTTTTACAACTCTTTTGCTTTAGACCATCTACAAATGTTAAGTCTTAAAATAAAATGTTAGGGTTAACCTTACATAATAAAGCAACGCTTGATATATGGTTTATTTATAGTTATTTTCAAAGCTTTAATTGTTTATTTAATTCTAACAAATAAGTTCTTGTTAAAAACTAACCAAAATAAAAAATATTTTGCTTATAATTTCTGCTCAGGAGAGACTTGGTGTTGTTTCCAAACAAAAGGAAATATATAAAATATCGGCATATCGGATATGGGCAAAAATCAAATATCCTGCATCCCTAACGTTTTTTATGCTCTTTGAGGCATTTCAGCCTGGCAGAGACATATTTCCCCCCTTAATCTCCAGATGCTAATCATAACAACTAGTTTTAAACATTTCTGAACAAAATTTCAGTAGTGTTTCACTGTCAAAAATCACTGTCAAACTGCTGGAGTGTTGCTGTGTGGTTACTAAAGGGTTCGGGTTTTATTGCATTGCTATTAGGTTGCTAGAGCGTTGTTAAGTGGTTGCTTAATGGACGCTTTTCCCCTGTTGGCCTTAATGGTTCAAAGAACAGTAATGAATGGTTACAGTTATATTTCCACTTGAGCTTGGTTCGGGAAAAGCACGATTACAAAGTTGTAAACAACCCGAGTGATGCTACTCAGGATTGGTCACTTGTTTTGTTGCCTGGTGTCAAGTTTTTCTCTTTAGCTGGCCAAATGGAAGAGTTAAGCAACAAGAACTGTTTGGGTGTGTGATAGAGTAAACAGTAATAGCACGTGCAGCGGCAGCAGTCGCAGCCTCCCTCCCTCCCTAACGCCCGCTTATTAAGGAGTTTTAATCTGTAGGGGGCGCTGTTGGCTGCATAGCTTACATGGAAAAAAAAAATCACAAACATGACACTTGTAAATTAAATAATTGTATATATACTGATTTATTCATTAATGTGTAATATGTTTTATTTTTTAAACAAATCATAAGCTCTAAAAGATTTTCAGAATTTTTACAACTCTTTTGCTTTAGACCATCTACAAATGTTAAGTCTTAAAATAAAATGTTAGGGTTAACCTTACATAATAAAGCAACGCTTGATATATGGTTTATTTATAGTTATTTTCAAAGCTTTAATTGTTTATTTAATTCTAACAAATAAGTTCTTGTTAAAAACTAACCAAAATAAAAAATATTTTGCTTATAATTTCTGCTCAGGAGAGACTTGGTGTTGTTTCCAAACAAAAGGAAATATATAAAATATCGGCATATCGGATATGGGCAAAAATCAAATATCCTGCATCCCTAACGTTTTTTATGCTCTTTGAGGCATTTCAGCCTGGCAGAGACATATTTCCCCCCTTAATCTCCAGATGCTAATCATAACAACTAGTTTTAAACATTTCTGAACAAAATTTCAGTAGTGTTTCACTGTCAAAAATCACTGTCAAACTGCTGGAGTGTTGCTGTGTGGTTACTAAAGGGTTCGGGTTTTATTGCATTGCTATTAGGTTGCTAGAGCGTTGTTAAGTGGTTGCTTAATGGACGCTTTTCCCCTGTTGGCCTTAATGGTTCAAAGAACAGTAATGAATGGTTACAGTTATATTTCCACTTGAGCTTGGTTCGGGAAAAGCACGATTACAAAGTTGTAAACAACCCGAGTGATGCTACTCAGGATTGGTCACTTGTTTTGTTGCCTGGTGTCAAGTTTTTCTCTTTAGCTGGCCAAATGGAAGAGTTAAGCAACAAGAACTGTTTGGCGCAATCTGTTTTCTAGATGACTCCACTTCAGTGCTTCATGCTGCTCCTTCAGCATTAAATGGTTAGTTCACCCTAAAATTCCAGTTCTGTCATTAATTAATTACCCTCATGTCATTCCAAACCCGCAAGACCTTCGGTCATCTTCAGAACACAAATTAAGTTATTTTTGATGAAAACCGAGAGCTTTTTGACCCTCCATTGACAGAAAAGCAACTGACACCTTCAAGGCCCAGAAAGGTAGTAAGGACATTGTTGAAATAGTCCATGTGACATTAATTTGATGAAATTAATTTCATACATATCTGAATGCTGTACACCGGAAACGCAAGCTCATGCAAAGAATTTTTGCATTTTACTGTATTGCAAGTTTAGTGAACTTTGACCTGTAAAGACATGTGACCAATGGAAGATAGTTATGTCAGTCTGTGACCTTATAGCGCTAAATCAAAATAATATGAACTTTAAAGCTGCAGGTTAGCATCATTACATTTAATTTAATGATTATTATTTTTTTTTTTTTAGTTTTTAAAGTTGTCCAAATGGTCAAAGTTTAGTGTGGCTGCCTCTTGAGTCTGTGTAGGATTTTTATTTGCCCAGACAAAAATTATAAATCATTTTGTTTTAGAACAGTAATATTGCTCACCAAGCCATATGATTTGAGATATCACTTACTTTTGTAGGCCAAATGTTGAGGATAAATTGCATGGCAAAACTAAATTCTTAAGTTTATGGGTTTATTCAAATCCCTAATCTCAGATATGAGCAATAATAGCAATAACAGTACTTAAATATGACCTTTACACAGTACATACTGTACGTGGCACATCAGATTGACAGACGGCTGCCCTTTTTTAACTCCTCCACCCTGATTGACTGCGCCGAGGCATTTTCACTTTCAACCGCTCATTTAGATCAAGAATTGGCAGAGACCTCATGCATTAGTCATCCCTCCACAGGCTCCAAGCCCGTGATTATTATTGTTATTATGACATCTGATTTCATGAAAACCTCAAAGGGCATTGACTTAAGAATTTGATCACTAGCTTCCTTTCCCACCCAATCACTTTTTCAGTGAAACGAAAGCTATGAGATTGATGTGTTTGTTCTTCCATTGAAACTCAACATTTGCCTTAAGCTGTTTTACTGATCATGACATGAAGTCTACCTACAAAAATGGCGGCATGGACCAGGATACTGTGGATTCATCAGCATGCCACACGTCTCATGTACTTGGCAGTAAACCATACGCTGCTGCCTTTGTTTTAGAGTGCTAAAAATCATCCTCGACCCATTGATCCGGCGGCACATGAGTGATTGCAGTCACATGCCCTCCGCTTTAATGCGGTGTGATTAGCACAGGCTGTTGATCAGTCATGTGGAGCAGTTTCTGCTCAGATAACTGTCCTGCTGTGAGTCCTGGATGCATACAGTATGAACTGACCAGCTGTTCTGTGAGCAGAAGAGGGATGCCAAAGAGGGAGGATTTCATTCGCTCCTCCCCATGTGTTGACCATTATAACAATATCATAATATTAGATCATCATATGCATTCACTGATAATCACACAACCAAATGTGAAAATGACTTCAAGCTGTTGTGCGTACAGTAGGGTTCAAATATCTAAGACTAGTTTCCACTAGTGAAAATGCTCCTATATGGCGGTTTAAAATTTATTTTTATTACATATTATGTTATCAGCATAACAATTATGATGTTCAAAAGAGCATGTGCAGATGATTTGATAAGCACAGTCACAAATTTATTTATTAATGATGTCAAAATAGTTTGGAATCATTTTTATTATATGTTTACACTACATTTTACTTATTTACATGTATGGATTTTATTTACATTTATATATTTTAATTTAAAATAATTATTTCTATTTCTATTACATTTTTTAAATACTCAAAACAAATTGTTTTTTACTAAAACAAAATCAAAAACAAAACCAAAAGCAAAAATCTAATCAAAACAAAAAATAAAATCAAACAAAACAACTCCATTTTCACAAATATTCACAAAAAGTGTGGTCTCAAACTGTTGAACTGTTCTGTTGGTCTAAAACAGCAGTGAGATATTCAGTATGGTCAGTACTAGCTTCACTTCTGTGTTGTTCAGTGTCCAACAGTTTGTCATTCTGCAGTTTTGTGTGTCTGTTAATCAATCCATTTGCACTACAGTACGTCTTCATTCTGCAGTGCCAAACTGGTGGATTTGGTCTGATGCTGGTGGTCACCGTTGCGATTCTAGATACATAGTCTTACACACAACACGGCCGTTGGCATGGTCACAAGATGGAGAGAATTTGAATTGCTGCTAGGGTTGCAGCAGATGGTGGTAGAAGTTGAACAGCCTGTTTGTAAGCAGACTTCGCATTGTCTCAGTGTGGCACGAGCTCTTTGTTCTCCTTCAAAGAATGCGTTTCATTATGGAGAATATGGGAGTCGGTTTGTAATTGGTGATTCAACTTTTACTGCTGCTTCTCATTTCCTCACTCGCTGCATGAGACTTGATGTTTTTGTAGTTCAATTAATATGCAGCAGTGTTTGTGAATACTTACCGTGATTTCACCGTCTGAGATGTTTTCCTGATCAACATCTTTGTTGGTCTTAAAACAAAATTCTTGTTAACTACATTTTAGTGTTTGGGTTAGCCCTGAAAACATTCCTATCTTCTCATTATTTCATTCCATTTGCCATCTGATGCTTATTGCACAAAAAATTGAACACTTTATCTGGCGAGTTCATATGCTGTATGATTGGCTGATTTTTTATTGCTTTTTATTTTGTTCAATCATTTTTTATTCATTGTATAATCACTGGATTTGTCAGTATTCCAGGTGGGTGACCTCAAAGATTGCAAATTTATATCGATATTCATTGAAAAACATGTTGAAATATGCTTGCTGTTGTACGAGTATTTAAATTAGGCAGTCATTTTTTTCACACTTACAGTATAGATTCACAAAAGTCAGTGTTGTTTAACCGGTTCAATTAACACACCACACTATTAACATCTACAGAAAGCAGTTAACGACAGTTGATTGACAAGATATGTTTGTGTGCATTTTCTCTTCATCATGGCAGTAGGAATGATGATCATGCTTTTGGAGCATTCATTTCTCATCTCTTTTTGTCTCTCTGTCAGATTTGGATCAGTGCTTCTTTCCATCATGCCGGTGCTGGTGGACAGGCTTCAGCTTCAGAGAGTGTGAGCTCCACTGAACTGCGGGGATGAACATGCCATTGCACCAAATCTCTGTCATCCCTCGTGATGTCACTTCCTCCCGGGTGTCCAGCAGCGGGAAGGCAAAGGAAAAGGACAAACAGGTTTGTCTTCCACCTAAGAGACATAGAAAAACAGGCGGTAGTATAATCTGTGACCCTTGTTACCTTTATCCTCATTCCCACTGAAAGACAGCATCCTGCTTTCACAGTTCTGAACGTTTTCTTTCCCTGTCAAATGTGGAAAGGATTTTAGAGACAACCTTGTTCACACACATGGGCTCGAAATACTTGTCTGTTCCTACGTTGTTCTGTGAACTCTGTCTTAAATACTGTTTATATTATATGCTTTCGTGGAACACTTCAAACTATGAAAACTACTGACACAGATTACAATAAAGGAAGTAGAGGAAGTCGCACATACATAGGAGTGGATGCTTTGGGGTGGCAGGTTTCCAGTAAGTGATGCAGGCAGGAATGACTGTGTGAAATGTTATGAGTGAGGAGAACTATAAAAGAAAGTGTGATTGATATCATGGTGCCTGTGGGCTTTGTGTTGACTGTTAAAAGGGTCTTTTTATCCTATGGGATTTTTTCTCTTATTATTCTGCATCAAAAACTGTCATGATTAAGGTTTCACAAATATTTTATGCGTTCTCTTACACCTAGGAATTATTTGGTACGCTGTGCCTTTAAGACTTCTTTGCACTTACTCACCATGACGCCGCAAATGACGCTTTATTTTCTCCTTAATGTACATTCCTGATCTTATTTTGAATGAATCATCAATGTGTCAATTCTTTGTAATCTTTCATTTGGGGATGCACTGAAATGTAAACTCTGGTTGATACTGATAGGCCGATACTTAAGGGATAATGTATATCCTGCAGGTTGTTATCGCAGAATAAACTCCAACAGGGGGATCAGGATGTGAAGCGGAGGGGTCTTGCGTCGCCCTGAAGGGGTTTATTCTGCGATAACAGCCAGCTGGATGTACATTATCCTACTTATTACATGGCTACTTGCCACATAAGTAAATAATTAGACATAAAATATTGATTTGAGTTAAATAATTTATTAGCTCCTGAAATGCAAAGCTTCTGTGTAGCACCAAGCTTATTGTATAAGATTCTGTCTAAATAAATTCAAAATAAAGCACAAAAAAATAAAATCAGTTGTTTTAAATGCTACAAATAAATTTAGGCATCACAGTATAACAATCTGCAGTATGAAAAATGGATATTAATTTTGGGATTTCCTAAAATTACATTTCACAGTGTTATTAGATTATTAGTGTTCATTTTTATAATTTTTAATTTTTCAAAATCATTTTACTCTTATCATTAGTTGTTCTGGTGTTAAGAAGTAATCCAAAGATTTCAGAATGAGTTGTTTTAGTTTTAATACAAGGTTTTTTGGAATTGGGAATTAAGTTTGTTTACATACACTACCAGTCATATATATATATTTTTTTAGGAAGTCTCTAATGTTCACAAAGCCTGCATTTATTTGATCAAATATACAGTAAAAACAGTAAAGTATTTTTACAATTTAAAATGACTGTTTTCTATTTTTATGTACAGTGTTTTAAAATTAAATTGATTCCTTTGATAGCAAAGATGGCAAAAAAAAGATGTTTTCAGCATCCAAGTCTCGTGATCCTTCAGAAATCATTCTAATATGTTGATTTGCTGCTCAAGAAACATTTGTTATTATTATCACTCTTCAAGATTTGTGCCACTTAATATTTTGGTAGAAAAAGTTATATATTTGAAATTGAAATCTGCCACTTTTAAAGGGGTCATATGATGCGATTTCAAGTTTTAATTTCTCTTTGGAGTGTTACAAGCTGTCCGATTTTATGTTTACGTGTAAAAAGACAGTATAAGTCATTATAATCAATCCATAATTATGTCCCCACTGGATGCAACAAATGCCTCGTTTATAATGGGTTTTATTGGTTTTGTCTCGTCGCTCCGGCCGGACACAGCAGCAACGTCATATGACCCCTTTAATCAATTTCATGTGTCCTTGATGAATAGAAGTATTCATTTCTTTCAACAAAAGGAAAAATCTTACTGACTCAACTTTTGAGCGATAGTGAAGTATAATGTCTTTATAAAAGATGAATGAAAAATTTATTTCTCATGATATGATTCCTTTAAAGAGATATATTTTCTTCCCAAAATGCATATCGCAGATATGATAAGGTTTCGTGCAAGTGAGATACTTTTGGCATCACTGGTTGATACTGTGTTTCAGAGGTGGGGAAGCTGTGGTGTCAGATGTTGTCCAGCCTTGTGACCCATGCTATTATCATCTGTTTGAATACTGAAGGTTTGTTTTTTTCTGAGAAGCCTGATTCATAAACACTTGGGCCCAAAGGAATCTCAATATTTACCCTCATCAGTTTTCAGCTTGTGTAGCTGTGCCAGCAGCTCTTTAGCCGTGCTCTCTCGTCCTCTTCTAGTGCGGCGCTCTGTTTAAGCAAGACTGGACGGAGACACTAATGAGTGTTGTTTCATTGGTAGGCCTGAGGCTGGTAACCCATCAGCTGTTTGTTTGTCAGAGCCAGGCAGGATACAGGAGACAGGCTGTTTTTTTCCCCTTTGTTTTTTTCTTTGGCTAAACGGCCTCAAGTGACTCGAGTAGCAGGAAGTCTGTTAAATCATAAATGTCGGTATGTCAATCATCATTCCCAGAACATTTTTTAAGAATCACTCTTCATCAAATCCTCTGTATGTTTACATTTCTACTGTTTGGCAGCTGAGTCTGACCTAGAGACATTTTGATGATTTTTTTAATAGAATTGCAGTATTGTGCACTCTGTGTCTGTCCAGGTATAGTGGTTTGTGTATCAAGCTCATGGTGGAGTTACTGATAGTCATCATAGCTGGGCTTTGCGGTCTGTCAGTTTGATTTGTTGCAGTTTTATTTGCTGCCTCTCTTTTTTATGACAGGACCTTCACAAGTTTCTGCCTGACTGGCACTGACAATGTGCCGCCCAGACGTGATTATTATTATTTTTTTAACTATGGAGCTGTGGACTAGAGATATTTAGGCAGACGCTGTTATGGGTGAATCACATGTAGAACATGTGCGGGTCAAATTGTTTCCTAAAATCAAAAGAAAATGTTTTATATATAACAATCCAATCCTTATTTCTGTAATGAGACTGAATGTTTTATTTCTGATTTTTTTGTTGTTGTAATTTTCATTATTCTCATTTGATTCTTATTGTAATATGCTGTACTGACACATTGAAGAATATCAAATAATATTTTGAATTATTTTTAATTTTAGTTAACATTTTAGTAATTTTGTGCTTTTGTCATATTTTTTGTATTATTATAAATAAAATATTTCTAGTAATTTAGTTTTATTTCAGTTGTTGTTTTAATAATTTAAGTACTTCAAGTTCAGCATATTTAAGTTTGATGCCAAGGCAACAGTTTTAGTACAATACAATACAACAATACAACAAAACAAGTATTTCTTAGTTTTTCATTTAATATTTATATTTTATTTTATTTCAGCATCATTTCAATGATTAAAACTGTTTTTAATAGCTTTAGTTTTAGACAAGAATAACAATGTTGTAATATATATATAAACATTAAAGAAAGTATATTATATATTTAGATATTTATTTTTGATATTTTAATATTTTTTTTAAATACATTTTAATAAATTGAAGACAGTACAACACATAATGCCATTATAAATAAACCAAAATGAAATGGAAATATAGCCTATTATTTCATTTTTTAGCACGATAATATAAATTGGGGGAATGTGCTTAGAAAGTAATGCCAAGAAAGTAATGTTATATTGCAAAACTGGTTTAATTTTCTTTTTGCCAAATGTAATATCCATTTCTTTCTTTTGATTTTGTGGAAAATATGACTCACCCTATATCAGTGATGGCACTCAGTGCAGTTTATGAGGCTCTTTTGATGGATGTTGATTGGTCAGATGCATAGAGATTGGTGATGGACCATGAATATTAGTCACTGAAACACGATAATCAAACCCTGCAGGAATTTAATGACCACAATCCTTCAAAGCTCCATCAGTGGATTATGCTGCGTTTAGTATGACCCTTTTATGCTCAAAACTACTCAAACTCGGTTTTTCGTACATTTTTGTAGCCTAATATAAATGATTATGCTACCCTTCCTTCATTAATAGTTTCCTTTAATTGAGCCCGACACTGAATTTCTTGGAGTCTAGAGAGACAAATCTTCGCTCTTAACACCTAGAGCTTGTGTTTGGTACAGACAGAGGAGTTGGCACGAGCCACAGTATCTTTTACCTCTCGCTCAGCATACAGATCAGCCGGGGGGCGTATCGACATTAGGCAAAGAAAGCACAGCCCATCTGCCTGTTGCAGACAACTCCTCCTCTGTGTCTCAGTGGAAAAAACCCTCATTCCCACTGCTTTAGATTCAGCGCCAGCTGCCATTGCGGATGCAGTGCTATTGAATGATCTGAAATGAACAAGTATCAGAACTATCAGGTACATAACACGCTGTTATTTCTTTGTTTTGTCTTGCTGCTACAAACATGACATGCTCACATCAGTGACATGTTGATCCTTTGAATGAAATCGGTGTCTATAACAGTGACTGGCAAAATCTACCATCATCTTTTTTAAATGAATATCATGAGGCAGCAGTATATCCCAATGCCAGTAATACACTATTAGCAGGCCTCAGATCGAATCTGCATACTTTTTTCCACGTTTATCAATAGGGAGCCAGACTCAAACTTTGGTTACCCACACTTAAAGGCATAGTTCACCCACAAATGACCAATAACAAGGCCAAAAAAAAATCAACATGCTGACTGTAATTTAATGGAAAACCAGAGCTATTTTTTAAAATGCTCTCCATTTGTATTCAACAGAAGGAAAGCCATACAAGTTTTTTTTTTTTTAAGGTATTTTTCAGCACCACAGGATGTCAAAACGTGCACTAACTATTAGGGAATTTTGCAGAATATTATTTTTATTTATCTGATGAAAGAAAACTGGTGGCAAGGTGTTTTAATGTTTTTGAAATAAGTCTCTTATGCTCATCAAGGCTGCAATAATTTGATTTAAA